TTTTTTTTGTTGTTATTGATGTTCTTGTAAGAAAAAGATCTCTGGTGGTTGGCCTATTTAATGACTAAATTAAGATATGCTTTTTTAGCATATGAAGTCATAAAAAAGGTGTAGTAGGCGCTAGATGATTTTAAAAGGGAAACTATGTTTCATGTGGAGGGTGGGTTGTTTGTCATGTGGTTGTTCTTTTGTTTTTGTTTGAAGGATGAATTTACATAATGAGCATTATATTTTTAGTTACTTGAAGTCTGCAACCAAAACTGAATCCCATTTTCAGAGGCAAATACTGATGCAATTACTTGGAGAATCCTGTAGCTTGTGTTATGCAGGTTAGAGTGTCTCTGGGAGTGGGCTATTCCCATTCTTAATACTTGAAGCATCTGTTAATTTTGTCTGGTGGTGTTTGCAAGCAGCTCTGCAGTGGTTTCCAGGCTGGCTGTAATCTGCCATAAGCCAAGGCTGCTGCTGCTGTGAGGGACACTCAGTGAGCATGCTCTGCCTCTGAGCACATCCGTGTTTGTGGAGCTGCAGGGTGAGCTGCTTCAGGAGCTCCTCTGCCAAAATAAACTGGGTTCTTGTGGGAGCTTTTCAGCTGAACCAGGTTTGCTCCCTGCCTATCTGAGAGCTGGGGTGGCAGTCAGTGCTTGAGGTGGGAAAAGGAAAATGGGACCTACAGGTGTGTGAGCAGGTGCAGGAGGGAAGGGATAAGTGCACCTACAGCCTTATTTGCAGCTCTGCAGTAATTTCCATGTAATCTTTTAAGGGGCTTCACACAGAGCAGTAGGGAAATGAAGAATTTTGAAATGTTTAGGCAAGACAACTCTATAAACGTGGTGACTGATGACAGACAAAGGACAAGTTTGTATCTGAAACTAAATTCTAAATCATCTCTACATTTCAAAATTTTAGTAAACTCTTAAAGCTAATAAACACAATTGTGCAAATAGGCATTATAGCAGAACTTCTGCCATTGGACATAGGTTACTCGTAGCTAAAACCTGCAGGATGTTTTGAGGGTGAATCTGTGTATCAAGAGCTCTTGAATTGTTGTCAGCTTTTCAAGAGCTGACATCCCTCTCACCCTCATGTCGCTTATTTTGTTGTTTTGGTCTTTGTATTCATAAGAGGAAAATAAAACTCCAGGCAGTGCAAAATTAACATTTACTATGCCTAACATTTATTGTGGCTTCTTAATGTGTAGTTAAAAAAGGATTTTCTGAAGTAATGTGCAGCTATTCTATTTTCCTGTTAGAATTGGAAGTGTGTGGGTTAGAAACTCATGGAGGATGAGCAGCTGGCACTGGGGACAATAAATATACTAATGCTGAGACCTGGCCCAGTGCAGTGGTGGGGGCAGGATGGAGGCAGGCCACTGCCTGGGAAGGAGGAGCTACAGTGAGGACTGGGGAGAAGCAGATCCTGTCTGGGACAGGACAGAAAAAAGGGATCCAGTGCAACTCATGTGCTTGGTTCTTGGCTGAGCCCTAGGTGCAGTAGTTCCCTCCTGGATTACATCCTAGAGCTGTGATGGGTGTGGGGGAATGGCCTCCTCCTCCAGCAGAAGCTGCACTGCTGGAACATCTTAAGCACAGAGATCCCTGCTGTCTCTGATAAGTGCCAGCTGGGCAGCCACTCACATGTTTGAAATTGTGGCCTCATCTTGCTGCACGGGATTAGAGCTGAAAAACCATCTGAGGAAGCTTGATTAGGATTTTTGCCTCTACTGCAGTTTTCTGCACAGCCTTTGGGTATGACCTGCAGTCCAAGTTTTGCTAAGGGTCAAACTTAAAAGCAACGTGCTTGATGGGGTTAATTAGATTATTTGAACAGAAACAGTTTTCTACCTGGGTTAATTTTCTGCTGATTCAGTAAATGCAGGGAGTGAATGGGATCCATTTAAATTGACTGTAAAACTCTGTTCTGGAGATCTGTATTTTCTGCAGCTTTAACTGCCACTGGTGAGTCAGTCATGTGTCTGCATAGGGAAGTATCAGAGGCATTTATGTGGACCTTGGGATTTGTGGGGAAGCAGCCTCACCTTGGAGAGCACAAGGAGGAAGTTGACAGTTCAGGAAGATGTGGTTGGCACAGGATGAAGCACAGATGAGAACTCAGCAATGAGGAGTTAAGTAGAGTTTTCAGGATGAAGACCAGAAGCAAAATTACAAAATAAAGGAGCCAAGAAAAATTTGGAAAAGGCTGAATCTCATCATCACGAGACAGCAGTGCAGAAAATGTGCAAGTGCCTTACTGCCTGCCTCGACTGTTGTAGCAGAAACACCAGTGCTGCTTTTCCTGGGTGCTCACTCCCCAGTCTTTGCCCTTTATCCATCAATATACTCTCAGTTACCTATGACACTGTGCAGTAAAGGGGGCACAAGAGGGGAGGGCACTGCTTTCTTTCAGCTGGTAGCAGCTCCTTCAGGATTTATACCCAGTGAGTACCTAACTATTCCTTAGGTTTTATGGCTCCTTGGGATTTCCTTTTACAGCTCCTCTGCCCATGGATCATATTGAAAAGATGGCTGCAGAGTGTATGAAGGACCTGCATGAAGAGGAAGATGCAGATGATGAAGATTTGGAGAAAGATACAGACCTATTGGTATGCATAACTGTTGGCAAAGAGTTGTAGTATGGTGTGTTTTTTTTTTTAACAGAACTGCATTTAGCAAAAATGTCTGTTAACTTTGTGGTAAGAAGCTAAAATATTGCAAAAGCACCATTAGATGCAAGTCTTTGCAGGATCCGTCCCCCTGCACAGCAGAGTAAGAGAGTTTCTTAACATTTATATGTGTGAGAGTCTTAGAGAATTGAGGGAAGAGCAGGAATCCCATTCCCTGTCAGCTGATGAAGGACAGCCAGGAACTGTCTCCTTAAAGTGATGTCTGCCACCATTTTGCTACTGCTTCAAGCAGTGCTTGGCCTGAGAGAACACCTCCAGAAAGTCTTTGTTGTTTCAATGATTCATCTAACTGACAGAGTTTAGGGAAGGAGTGTTAAGCAGTGGTTTTGACTGCCATTGCTAGTAGAGGCTTTTTGGAAATTTGAAATTCAGGTTTGCATAATCTTCGTAAAAGTACTTCTCTGGACTTGTCCAGCTTCAGATCTCCAGCCATGAGCTTGTGTGGTGATCCTGGGGCTGAAGTGTGGCTTTTCAGTGGTATCTGGAACCAGTTTAAATTAAATAATAAAAAATAAAATTTAATTTAAAAAAGACTGGAATAAATGATATTCAGACTCTTCACTTGGGTTCAAGATCTGTGCAAAACTTTTGGCACTTCAGACTTGATTTTATTTTTGTCTTTTGAGGACAGAGAAAATTTTGAGGAAAAGCCTTTTGTTGGCTCTTACTTTTACCGTAGGCAGAGTTGCAAGAAGTTCTGGGGGAAGAAGGTGAGGCAGGAAGCTGTGAGGATGAAATGACAGCAACAGAGCCATCCCCAACTGAACCAGAAGCTGAACTACCTGAACTGCAATCACAGGTAGGAATGAGCTTCATGTTTCTGACAGTTTTGTTGAATCACTGTTGTCATGTAGCTTGTATGAAGGTCATTGGCAAGAATCTAGGGAGGTCTTACCTTCCAAGGAAGAAAAACCTAAACTCTTGCTGTTTCCTCCAGGAAAAGCAGTGTTGTATGGGTGTAGGTGATCTTTTTGCTTTGTTCCAAGGATGAATTGTGATGTTAGCATAGAACTGAAGAGGTAGACAATTGGAGACAAGCATGTCTTGTCCCTCATTATACTTAGGAGCATGCAGACCGCAGTGCAGGCATCCAGAGTTGGTATCTTCTCCCTAAGAGTATTGAGCAGTGTGCTGAAATTGTGAGACATGATGTAACTCAATAGTTTTGGATTTTTTCTCAGTAGCATTATCTGTCTCAGCTTAATTTGACAGTCCTCATGCAGTGAAATCCTTTATTCAGTCACGGCATGTTTCTGTTGTGTGCTACAGATTCCAGTGCCTTGTACACTGGACCCATTAGCAAATGGGATTGAGAGGTTTCTATAGAGATAATGGCAATAATTACATCAGGAGCCATCTGCAGGGTCTCTGTGGCTGTGGAGAGTTTGTAAGTAGCTGCTCATGACTTTGCTTAGGCTGCTTTTGTCACTGAACTAATTCCAGGCTGTAGGAGGAGGAAAAAGAGCTCTTGTTGTAAAACCAGGTTGAAGCCCAGAAGGGAGAAAACTAGCATGGTTTAAAAATAAGAAAAGAATAAGTCAAGTTTTGTGCCAAAATACCTCTTCTCACCCTCTGTTGTGTGGGGTTTGAGAGGCTTTAGTGTTCTCCTCACCTACTCACTGACCACATGGCTCCAATTACTCTGTGAGTGAGAGTTTCCCAAGTCTCCCCAGCCGTTCTTCTCTGTGAGGCTTTTGAGAGAGCCCAGAGGTGGATGCAGGGCCTGTCAGCACAGCACAAACGCTGCTCTGTTTTAGGGGCTGTTCCTGCCTGCACTCGCTTCACAGCAGGGTGTGTGTTTAGAAGAGGAGTGTTTGCTTTTCAGTGCGGTGGGAAAACTCGTCTAGCTGGATGAAATAAGTTTTCTTGATTTGTTTTATTGTTTTTTCTGAGACCTCCTCACTTCCTGCTGTTACCAGTGAGCTACAACAGACGCTTGAGGGCAGAATTGCTGACTACAGGACGGCGATTTCTAACGCCCGGGAGTCGGGGGAAAGCGCCAAAATACGGCGGTACGAGAGGGGCCTGAAGGTGAGTTGGGGTCACCAGGATGTGAGTGAGGGTGAGGCAAAGTCAGCTCTCTGAGGTGTGGTCTTCCCAGCTGGGTGAGTTTGTTGACAAGGTAGTGAAATTTTCGTGTGCTGCCTGGTGTTCAAAAACAAAACAAAAGCATTTGTTGTTACTGACTACCCACCTGATACAGCAGACACACAGATAAGGCGTGGCTTCCGCTGTCTTTTGAGCTTTGATTCTGTTGAATGTGGCAGATGGTAGCTGGAGGCAGGGTTTATGGTACATGCTGAAGTTAAACCCACCTGCCTGGATCTGAATTTGACCTGTGGTGACTGCTCAGTTTTATCTTAAAGCAAAGTTTAGGAGTTTTCCTAGCACATGCACCTTGCAGTTCGTCCCTGTTGCCTTTCCTTCCACTCACTTCTGTCAGACAAAGGGAGGTGGTGCCTTTCCCTGAGTGTGTTGGCTGTGCTTGAAAAGGAATAGAGCAGGATTTTTGAGGAAGGCAATTAAGAGCTGCAGCAAAGAGCATTCTCTCCAGTCTCTCGTGGCTCCAGGCAGGTGGCGTGCTTGCAGTGAGCTGCAGTGCTTGTTCACTGCTGGGCAGGGCCTTTCTCTCCCCGTTGCTTTCAGCAGCTCTCCTGCATCACCTCAGGCAGCAGCAAAGCTGTACAGCTCAGGGCTGTGCACTGGGGCAGGATGTAATGGCTCACTGGCTTCCAGGTGTCTTGGGGTACAAAGGGGACAATTGAGGCCAAACTCAGGGAAGGAAAAGCACAAGAAAGATGTCTCTATGTGTCCACGGCCTGCCAGCCCTGACAGGAGTGTACACAAAACCACCTGGCCTTTCTGAGAGCCACAGGAATGGGCAAACCAGCTATTCCATCCAGTCATGAGCTTAGTGCACTGTGCCACTTCCTTTATTTTTCAGGGTAGGGAGTTTCCCTGTGCCTAAGCAGTGTAACTGAGGATAATAGACCAGATATCACTTCACAGGTCACGACTACTGAATTATCAAAATTACGTGTCAAAAAATGAGTTTTCTCTTATATGTAGTTCTTGGAACTGTGAACTTTAATTTTAGTCTGCCACCCCCGTGTGGAGAAGAGGGAGCTGCCTGTGGGGTGCTGGTCTGAACCCCAGTCTCACATGCAGTCATTTCAAAGTGTCTCTGTCACTGTTACTCAATAGGTCAAACAATGCTGTGGCTAAAAAAAAATAGCAGTGATTCTGGCACTGAGATTTTATTGTTGTTGTCTTTCTGTGTATCCATTTCAGTTTCTTTGGAAGATTAAAGAAGTAAAACTTTTATTTTGACTTGAAGTGCATGGTGGTCTTTTGACTGAACCTCAAATTAAATCTAAAAAATAAAAATACTGAGGAAGGTAATACTTGGGGAGGAGGAGGTGTTTTAAAAAAGTGAGCAGCAGTTAACCCAAGTTAGAAATGGTGAGAGCTCCTTACCATAGGTGATGAGCTGAAGCTCCATTTTCTTTATTAGTATTTTATGGTTTTTCTCATTGCATTAAATAGGTTTGCAGACCCCTTCCTTCCGTAGATCCATGTAGGTAATGAGATTTCAGAATAGCATATTTTATTACATTTTAAAGACACATAAAATCCATCTACAGTTGGTATAAATGGCTTCCTTGGTGACTTTCTGTGATAAAGCTGAGTGGATCGTGTCAGCTCTCCAATAATTCTGGGTGCTGAGGTAACTGCAGTTATCTGGTTTGAGCAACAAGGCCTTTGCACTGTGGTGGTGTGTGTGACAGAGCCTGTCATGTATAAGGGAATGAATTTGTCTTTCAATGATTTTATGCTAGTAACGTGTTTGATGAAAATGCCTGTTGTCTCTGTTGTTCCTTCTGTGCCAGACACTGGAAACCATGCTGGCTGCAGTGAAGAAAGGCAAAAAAATCAATGAGGAAGAAATGCCACCTCCTGTTGCAACAGGAAAGAGTTCTTCTTACTTACCTCAAGTGGAGCTGGAGAATTCAGGAGATTCACCAGAGAATAAAGCTGACTCTGCTGCAGGTGATGAGCAGAAGGCTTCTCCTGAGGCAAGGGAGCATTTGGAATCAGAGTCTCTGCAAGGTCGTGCTGCTGCTGATCCTACTGTGGAAACAGGTACTGTGATCTGAGAGGAAAAGCAGTTGCAGCCCTGTTTTAATGTTGCATCTTCCCTGATGTTTGTGGTGTGTGTAGGAAAGCACTGCTTAGTTGGAACTTGTGCTGAATGTCTCAGAGCTGTCCATGGAATGCTGAGTTTCTGGCAGTGGAATCAGTTATTTTAGAGCTCTTCTGTGCACTGGATCGGTATCCTTAGCTTCTCTAGTGCCTCAGTTCCTCCTTCATTATTTGGCATGTGGAATTCCAGCCTTTAAAGAGTTTTGAGGTACTGACTTAAAGATCTAATATTGTTTTTCTTTCAATTGAGAAAAATGGAATTGTTATGTTAGATGGGACTTCTGGAGACTGGAGGAAAAAGGATATTTGTAAGATGGCTGTTGTGACTTACTGCAAAAGGAGACAGATGTGGGTTTGCATAGATGGATGTAGCAAGGGATGCAAATTGTGCATGCTCTGTGTCAGTCTCAGCATTGTCTCATTCTCCCAGATCCCCAGCACAGCAGCACACGAGCAATTCTACTTATGAGGCAGAAGGAATATAAATTAGCAGCTCTAAAAGCCAAGCAGCAAGGGGACCTGGAGAAAGCAAAGGAATACATGAAGACAGGCAAGGTATGCGCTTAAGAAATCCTAAATGTTGAACTCACCCTGTGCTGTACCCACATGCATTAAATGTCATGTAGTGTGGCAGCTGGCAGGTCTTGGACAAACCAGAATAAACCTTTTGTTTTTTTCTTTGTTAGAAATTTAATGTGGTGTTGGAAGCTTTGGACAGTGGGCAGCCAGTAGACCTCCAGAATATGCCTCCATCTCCTCAGGGTAAGGCTTGTCTTCAGGAAACCCTTTCAGTGTCTCTGCTGTAATGGAGTGATTCTGCATTTGGTTGCAAAGCTGTTAAAAGAACTGGAGATTGTTTAAGACTGAGGCTCACTGCATGTTCACAGCCTAATCAAGACCAATGAACAGAAATGAGGTATCGTTACTTACATTGCAGTTACTCTCTGTGGATTACAAGTTCAAACAAGTGTTGATTTCTGACATTCTGGGTTTTATAACTGTAAATAATAGCAGCCAGTATTTGAAGTGGAAGGGAAAGAAGGATAATGGCACATTCTTAAAATTTACTGTAATATTTGATGGTGTTATGTGCTTCAACTAAAATTTGTAATGTTCAGATTAACAAACAGATTGCAGTGCACTAAAGTCTAATTTTTAAAGCAAGTTATCAGTATAAAGATACCTCAGTCCTAGTAAGAGAGAGTTTGGTGGTTTTTTAAAGTAGATGCAGTATCCCTACCAATAATTAATGCTTGGTCTTTGTGGCCCAGTCTTTTAACCAATTTACTTTAGTAGATTATTTTATTCTAAGACACTTAATGACAGATTTTTTCAGGAAATCATGAGAGACATGACTCAAGTTACTGATCACTAAATGGCATTGCAGAGGAACCTCACCCAGGGCATAACCTTGCCTTAAAAAGTGGAAGATTTTTGCAGCAAATAGTGTTGTAGTTTTCTGTTATACAATACCAGAAGCTGGAATTTCTGAATAGATTATATGAGCCTCTTCCCTTTTCCAGCACATCTTTTGTTACTAGAATATTTTAGTCAATTAGCAGACTTGTTCACTCTTTCCATCTGCCAAGATACCAAGTTATATTTTGGGGAGAGAATTCTTGGAATACTTGAACTACTTTTACTTTTTTTTTTCCTCTCAAGCAGCCCTAACCAAAATTAAATCAGCATTTGAGATTTTCTCTTATAAAGCATGTTCTGTGGATAATGGGAACCTTAGACTTAGCTAGCCATGGAGGTACTGTTTGGAAGCCAGAAAGCTTTCAGGAAGATGATATGATCAAATTGAAGGTTTTCTGAGTGACATGCAGCAGTAATTGCTGTGTGTGTGTTGTGAAGCTTCCTGCTTTCCCTGCTTTGCAGATCTTGAAAGCTTAGGACATGTAAAAGATGCATCCAAGCAAAAAGTACCACCTCAGGAGGGAAGTTCCCAGGATCTTGCAACACCTGTACCTCAGACCCAAGAAGCTTCAGGTAGGACTTTTGCATTTCTCTAGTAAGTAATGAAAATAGCACATCTGGGAAGCACTTTAAGGTCTGACCTCTCCCACTGAACTGCAGCAGGAGTGAGTAAACTGGCTAATGTTTCTGAGTATTGTTTGCTGCTGATCCAGTCTACTTCTGTTCTGGATCAGTGATGGAAGTAAAAGTTAATAAACTTTCTTTCTAACAGCAGTGTTCATAGTGAAACTTTCTATGATGTTCTCTGAAGAATGTGAGGAAGGGGAGGACGCAGGTAGCCTGTGTGTTTTGAAATCTTCCTGATGTGGCATTTCATTGTCTGTGTGGTTTGCAGAGTCCCTGCAGCAGCCCAGGACGGTGCTGGAAGCGCTGCAGCAGCGGCTGGAGAAGTACAGGGCAGCAGCAGCTCAGGCTAAAGCCAGCGGGGACGATCGCAAGGGCAGGATGCATGACAGGATAGCCAAGGTAAAACTACAGTGTGGCTCTTTGCATCCAGCAAAGCCATTTGAATTAGTTCTCTTGCTGAAGACTTTTTCAAGGCTGAAATAATTTGTGTATTGTCTGTCTGTTTGAAAAGAAGTCCAGTGGGGAAGCTGGAAAGCATTCGGAGGAAGAAATAGAGACAATGTGTATATTGTAATAAAATACTGAGTGTTGTGTGGTGTTTATGCTGGTTAAATACAGATGATTGCTAATTCACAGTCAGCTCTGTTTTGTGTCTTACTGACTGCCTTTGATTGCAGCAATACCAAGATGCCATAAGAGCCCATAAGGCAGGGAGAAAAGTGAATTTTTCTGAGCTACCTGTTCCTCCTGGTGAGTGTGAATGTAACAGTCCTAATCCCCAAACTTTTGTGCACCTGCTAGGCTTTGAAGGGGCTATGTAGGTGTTGCCTGCTCATCCTGTGGAGCAGCTCCTCCTTTTTCTCAGTGAGTAGCTGGCCTTGCTGTTTGATGGTATTCTGATATTTTTTTATTAATATGCTCCCAAACACTGACACTAGTGAATATTCCTGCATATTGGCAGCCTGATTGACAGTGTGGGAATTTAAAACTGGCACAATTTGAAAAGTTCAACAGCTTCACCATAGGCAGGTGCTAAAAATGTTACTTGTCTATCTTCTGTGTCAGCCCTCCTAGAGGAAAGACTAAAATTGGGTTATACTGGCTTCTTAGTTTTGCTGGAAAGAGGTTTTTAAAATGAAAACATTTTCCTGATGTGCCCCATTTTGCTGATTCCTATCAGGAGCCTCAGAGTTTGATATCTAATTAATATCCCCTTGTAACACCTTGTATCATCAAATCAGTATTGCAGCTCTCCTGGCTATTAAAAGCATAAGTGGAGATGAAGCAAATTATGCCCATAGTCACACTGAGACAGTGGCAGAGGCAGCAGCTGAGCTTGTTTCTTGAGACACTGTGTCCTGTTTATCTTCTTCAGAGCACTGAGTGCTGTGTCTGCAAAAGTTTGGGCAAGGTCATCTGTGAATGCTCTGCCTCTCATTTGCATGATACCATTTCTCCTCTAGAAATATCTTTCCTCTTATCTTGGGCTTGATGTGTTCTTCTGAAGGATAGACTCAGCATTGCAAAGCAGTGCCTGGATTTTAAGTTAGAGAATAGAAAAGACCTTGTGTTTTTGTCACTGTCAAATGTGGCAATGGCAAGCACTGCAGTGGTAGTAGAGTAGGCACTGCCAGCTCTGTCAGGTCATGTGTGGCTTTGAAGGTTTCCTGCTTTGAATCTGTCCCTAAAAGGCAGTTTAGCATCCCTTTTTGTAGAATGTGGTCCCTTTCTTGGTAAATACCAGTTTCTGTAAGAATGAGGTACTCCATATTTATACCTCTGGAAATACGGAGAACTGCTCAGTGTCCTTGCACGTCAGCTGTGTTTTTTAGCCATTATATAGGGGCCATGTGATTTACACTGAATACAATTATCAGGCAGTCACTGAAACCATCAGTGAATTATCCTGGGATGGCAGTGCCCTTCATGGCATCTGGCTGGTGATGAGTACCAGCTTTGGACTCCCTGGAAACAAATGCTGCTGAGCAATGGATCAAATGTCACACAGGGCAGCAGCACAACATTCTCTGTTCTGCCTGCCTGAGTACCTCAAACTTGTGCTGTAGCAGCCATCTCTAGGTTTAGAAGCAGTTTAGTCACTGTTTCTTAGCACTTCTTATGAGACTGGCTTGCTATATATTAAAGGAGAGAAGTAGTAACAGACATTTTATAGTAGTGGCTCTGGATTTCCGTTCTCTGAAGCTGACACAAAACTGGTCATGTGGCAGTGAGAGTTTATCTTCCATCATCAAGCCTTCCTCCCATACTTAAAAGGATAACAAAACAATGAAGAGCATTATTCTTCATACACTTCTCATTTAACTCGTCTGATTCTGCCTTAGTTTGCTACCTCTGCATTGCAGTACCTTTACAGCAGAGACTGAGTGTGTAACAACCCAGCTGTCAGCAGTGGATTGTTTATTACTCTGGGGGTAGCCCTGATTTTCTGCTGGACTGTGTGCCTGCTAAAGTGAGGCAGCAGTGAGAGTGGAAAAAATGAGACTAAATTGTCTGCTGGTTCTGGGGACATCCCTACTACTGAGGTCTTGAGGATGTGAGGTTGCTTGGCTGGCTGCCAGTTGCTCAGCTTGGAAAACTGCTCAGTTATTGCATCATTTTACTATCATCTGCTTTAGCTGGGTGGCTGTGAGATATCTGATCTTAAGCCAGCACTCAGACTTGATCTAGCAAGGCTTTTTGACCTAGGCCTTAGTCTAGTTAGACTGAATACTAAAATACATTAGATAATAGGTATTTGGATAGAAACAATTTCACAGTAAACAAGTAATATGGAAAACATACCATAGGGCTTATACGACTCTCTCTTCTGTGTTCATTTCCTTGACAGGATTTCCCCCTCTTCCTGGTGTTGCAGCAACAGATGGTGGCAGCACAATTGCTGCTGTCCTGGAGAGTGCCAGCAAGCTGGCAAACATGGAGGAGAATGATGAAGAGGAGGAGGTTAGTGTTGCCTGGTAGGATGTGTAAAAGTTCAGTTGCCATCTCTTGTGGCATGTAGAGATGAGGCCATTGGATTTCCAGGTAAGGGTGCTGAGGTGAAATACATTTCCCAAAAGTCTGAGGGAGTACAGGATCTCAGTAGTAATTTCAGTTTCCTTTATAGAGTAGGAGAGACAGATGAGGTGTTACTACAGTCAGTACAGTCTGTGAGTGCAGGGTTTGGCTCTTTCATAGCTGTGTTTTATGTAGATTTTATTTTCAAAGCAGATATTTGAGATCCTCACCACTCCTTTACATTGTTCTGAAGTACTTAAATGCATACTTTTATCCTGCATCCCAGTAGCTTCCTATGTTTGTTCTTTCCCAGGATGTTCAACTCTTACTGCTTTTTGTCAGGCTGTACCAGCATTTAGACTTTGGTTTGACTTCTATTTCTCTCTGGATTTGCTTGCTGATTGATTATGCTTTCAATTGGAGCAGCTTTTAATGGAGAGAATTTCTGGATGATATTTTTTCTGCATGCCTCTGCTTTTTTAAAAATCACTGCCTTGTTGAACATTCTTTTTATTCCATCTATGGCTTGCATAGGTCAGCTACCTGCTGGCCTGGCATGGCTTATAAACCTCCAGAAGTTAAAATTTACTATCTGTAATGCAATGCTCCCCTCAAAAGGGATACCCAAAGGCTGATACAGTGATAACCATGGTTGTTGATGCTTGAGATGCCTCAACTCTGGAAGAGATTTTATGCATTTAATATGAATTTCTTTTTGTTTTGCTAGAATGAGCCTCTTCCCCAGGCCCCAGTTGCCAAGAAGCCAACGCAGGTTGTTAAGCCAACTCCAGTTCCATCTGCTGCAGCTCAGGAGAGCTCTCCTGAGCACCTGAAACGAGCTGCATCACCCTCCACCCTGGACAAGGCAGAGTCAATGGATCATCTCCCTCCAGCTGGTAAGTAAAGGGATCACCATTCCCAGTGCTCCACATGCAAGGTGTTTGCTCTAGTTTGGTGAAGACTTTATAATTTAGGTGTGAGCCTGTGAATGTGTCATAGATTTCCTCTGACAGGAGCCTCAGTATGTGTGTGCTGGAGGGCAGACCCAGACCAGCCATGCAGCTTTATTTCACAGACAGCATGTATAATTATAAGGCTGATTAGGTTTTTTCATTAATTTTGATGTAACAAGATTCATAATGTTTAACTCTGCTTACAGCTGAACTCTCCATATACCCCCATTAAATGGGACAGGTTGCCAGTGTGAATTTTTCATTGATCTAATGGAGCTCCTGACATCACACAGAGTTCTCTGCCTGGTGCTTCACCCAAGGATCTCAGGCTGGCAGTGCAGGCAGGGCTTCATCAATCTCTGCTCTTTCTAAGGTCACTGAGCAGTTTTGTGTACAAGATGAATTGTACAGACAGTAAGGGACAGGCACCACCTCACAGTGTGGTTTGGGCACACACAGGCAGTGCTCAGGCTCTCCCTGATGCCTCGACTGTAATCCCATCCTCCTTCCCTTCTGCCCTGGGTGGTTCCCTCAGGATGAAGTAGAACTGCCTGGCTGACTGATGCACTAACCTGGTGCAGTGTAAAGCAATCTTGGTGTGGTTGTCCTTAATGTTTTGGCAAGGAAAGAAAAGACTCAAGGGTTAATAAGAAACTAAGAGAACAAAGAGAATAAGTGGTTACAAAGAAGCAGATGTGATACCTCTGAGTGGTTCTGCAGATTGGTTCATTGGGGTTCTTTTCTGACAAGTCCAGGAGAGGAAGGAAATTGCTTCAGAGGATGCTCATAATATTTGCTGTTTTTTTAGAAGTTACCATGGAGAGCTGAAAGTTTGGATTCAGTTTCTCCCTTGGACCAGTCAGCTGTGCTGAGTCTGTCTCAAGCCTGCAAATTAGGGGCTGTAATAACTCTTGTGACACTTGTGAAGTGATGTGAGGTTTTTTTGATGAAGGATGCTGTTCTAGAAGGAATCTTGTTTCTTTTTTAATGCTTGAAATTGAAAGTGCCCAAGAAATGGTGGAGTGCAGTAAGGAAATGTCCTAATTTGACATCTGTACTTTCACTGATCTTTTCCTGGCTGTAAACTGAACAGGGTAAACCTGTGTTGGGGGCATCAGCAGTGTCAGATGAGTGAGTGTTTCTGTACAACTGTTTTTCAGTTAGGGAACAGCTGGAATTTCTGGAGAACAGGAAGAAGCAATACCTGAAGGCAGCCATCAAAGCAAAGAGGGAGAACAACCTCGAACAGGCAAAGACATATCTCAGAACAGCCAAGGGCCTTGACCTAAAGATTGAGCAGGCAAAATCTGGCAAAACTGTTGATATTTCCAAGGTTAGTAGGACTGGTAATATTCTGCTTTGTTTCATATTCTTGGATATCTAAGTGCTTACTTTTCCCTATAAGGGCTCTGAAATGTGGAGTTCTTGTGTTGCAGCTGCCATCACCTCCTACAGATGATGAGGGTGATTTTATCTTTGTACACCATGAAGATATCAGACTGTCTCAGAAAGCAGATGAAGTTTATGCACAGCTTGTAAAATTGCTGAAGGATCAACACGAGGTGACCATTTTATATTTTCTAGAAATGTTTCAGAGTTTCTTTTTTACATTTCTGTGGTGTTTTATTAATATTATAATCCCATCATTATTCCAGTGAGATCTTTTTTTTTTTCTTTTAAAATTATTTTGATAGAGCATGTCCTAAAATGGTGAATTTTCAGAGTTGGATTCTATGGATAGTTAAAGCCAGAGGGTGTGCTTGAAGGCTTAGGACTAGCAAATTATCACTCTTAAACATGAGCACTCAAGTTTGAAAAAAGTACCTGAATATTAAGACTAGGCCTAAGTTGAACATCATATCTACAGATCAGGTGATTAAAAAGTAGTAGGGAGAACAGCTCAGACAGATGCTGTGCTTTGGACTTGAGGAATGGGGTGGTGAATGTTCTTGAGTGACTCAGGAAAATGCCTTGTTTTTCTTAAATTAGATTATCATCAACCTCAGAACAGGGCTAGTCATGAATCTGTGTGTGAGGATCACAGAGTGAATCTCTTTGGTTTTGTTTGTGTTGGCAGAGGTGTTTGCAGTACTCCAAGCAATTCATGCATCTGGGAAATGTGGCAGAAACAACTCGGTAAGACCCCGTGCCTGCTTTCAATCATCCCCCAAAGTGGGTATGTCATGTTTGAGTCTGCCTGGCCCCCTAAAGATGTCTCCACATTGCTCCCACCCTGGCTGAGGATTGCTCTGTGCTCTGATTTCTGGCATGTGGGGTTTTTTTACTGGATTTTTTTGCCTTTTTCTATAGGTTTGAGAAACTGGCACAAGGTTGTAAAAAGGATATGGAGATCCTACAGCTTGCACGAGCACAGGGAATGGATCCTCCAAGCCATCACTTTGAGGAAAGAACCTTTAAAATGATAAGGTATGGAAAAACAAAAGTATTTCCCAGGCTGGAATGACTTCCCTGGTCTTTTGCCTTGGTTTAGGGAATTTTGGGTTTCAGCAGACTTAGGTTTGCTGAAGGATTAGGCTCAGCATTTCTGAAAGGATGCTCTCAAGAACTTAAATACAAAGAAGTTGTTCTCTATCTTCTCTTGCTGATTCTTTTGTTTTTAAAATGCCTCCAGCTTCCTCTCCTATATTCTGTTTCTTCAGCTATTCCTCCTTCCTCTGTGTTTCTCCCTCAATCCTGTTGCCTTCTGGGCTTTGTTCCTGGCCGCAGAGATATTTTTAGCTCTGTTTGTGTTCTTCCCTTGCTCTGCCGTATTCTGTGGAGATGATCTCTGTAGGAGTGCACTGCTGAAAAAGCTCTGACAAATAGCCATGGCATCCTGGTCTGGGAGTGGGTCAGCTGATGCTGGGATGAACATGCTTTTTTGTCTTTTCACAGGATATTTTCTGATCTCAACAGCACAGAAATGCACCTTCTTATTGTCAGAGGGATGAACCTACCAGCCCCACCAGGTATGTACTGGAAAGGGCATGTGGGTTTTTTCCTCTGAGTAGGTAAAGAAAGTAATGGGGAACTAAATTTCCCTATCTTGAAGGCCACTTTAGGAGCCAGCACTCATTAAAACAAAGTAACCATGTTTTGGGCTCATGGCCCCCCCAAAAAAACTTGAAACAGTATTTTTAAAAAAGCAGAAAGGTGAATTAAGAGAATCTGAGTTCCATCTGGACAGAGAGAGAAAAACTTTAAATTTTCCTGGGTTCACTCATAGCTGGGTCATAGTTAAGGTTTCATTTTTACCTCCTGTTTTGTTACAAGCGCTTGCCTATGTGTTGCACAACTTTGGTATAGTTTGACCCTTCAATAGGTTTGCTCCTGCCAGTGTTACTGCTTTTAGCCCCTTGTTCTTGGGAACTTGTAAACCACCTCTGCTAGACTGTCCTAGGACTAACAACATAAAAAAACCCAGGTGTTTTCCCTTGGATGCCAACTTTCCATGGATTTTAGTTTGATGGATGGGTTTTTCAGTTGTCAAGAGGCAGGTCATGAGTCCTACTGTAAAACAGTTGGATGCTCTTTGAGAATCCTGCTCAACATGACAGATGCAATGACAATGTCTGTACTGGCTGTTTGGATTGGCTGGTTGTTGTCTCACCCAGGTGTGTCACCAAGAGATTTGGATGCGTTTGTGAAGTTTGAATTTCAGTACCCGAGTGCGGTGAGTGTGTCATGGCTCTTCTGACCCTCAGTCTGTCCCCCCTGCCACTGCATGAGCTTGTGAGGGCTCCAAGGAAAGGGAGAACACTTCTAGACGTGCTGCCTGGATCTGCTTTTAAAGCAGATTTATTTTTCTGAGAAGCAGAGCTGCTGAGCATGTTGGCTGCAGGTTTGAGCTTTGCGCCTTCCTCTTGGTGCTCTCCACACCTTACCCTTGGCAGGGCGTTCCTGCAGGTTCTGTGTCAGTGCTAAGCCATGCCTCCCTCTCCCCCCTGAAGGCACAATCAGGCTCTTTCCAATGTTGGCAAAATGTGTCAAAGTTCATTTCTTTCAGGGGTGCAAACACACCCAGAACCAGGGCACTCAAAGTTGTTGCCAAGGGCCACCTTAGATCTCTCTATGTCCTCTTTCCTTAAAAAACCAAGCATTTAAAGGCATTGCTTTTGAGCTTCTCTTAAAATTGTGGAAATGGATTGAAAGAGTTAATCTTTGTCATCAAATAAATGGTGATTTAATTAGGAAATATATCTATAGCTGAAGATAGGACTTGGGCCATGCAAGTTTCTCTACTAATTACCACTTGTGTGTATGTGCATTTATGTATGTGTATATATAAAAATATGTATACACATATCTATTACTTCTTTCCTTGGAATTCCCCAGTGACATCCTGTTCCTCTCACCTTTAAAAGCAGTCTCTGGTCTGAAAAATACTCAAACCTGGGAGCTAGAAGGGCTTCTGAGGAGATACTGATTGTTCTTTTACTGTCAGTAGAAATCCTGGGGCTTTGCTGCTCTCTCTAAGGCAAAACCAGACCTTGCTCTTGCAGGACTAATGCTTAGCCCTGGGAGAGTGCAGAGCCTAGGTTTCTACCTCCCTTATTTCCACTAAAATTAAATCAATTACCTGTGGGAAATTGGTGATGGTCAGACCAGGTTTGTATTTAGGTTTGTGACTCGAGGCTTTAATGGAGTAACACAATTAGAGTGGCTGAAACCAGAGCTGGTCTCTATGAAAAATTTTTCTGGGGAATGAATAAGAATCAGCATAGTTCCTTTTAATCTATTTTCCTTTGTTTAAAGAAGAGCCAGATCTTTACTCCTTAGCCAACAGTCAAATAAATATACCACCTTTCTCCTTTATAACTGAAATCAGTTTGCAAAGTAGCTGCAATAATTAGGCCACACTGTCCTTGTTCATTCCCCAGAGATTTAGTTTGTACTCTGCTTTAGGTTAAAAGTTAATTCATTTTGGTGGCAGATTGATTGTCAGGGAAAATAATAGTAGGGCAATTCCCTGAATGATTTGTGATGAATTCCTTGTGTAGCTTATTATTCCAGCTAATGCAGGAGGAACAGAATTACTGTCTTGGAAGGTGCACAGTTTGTCATGGAGTTTAACAGCCCCAGTCAGTAACTTATGATGATTGGATTGAATTGACTGTGACTATGTAGCTTATCTATGGCTCTCATATTTAATGTAATGTTTTGGCTTATTCTTTCTGCAGTATTATCCTTGTTACCACAGTGCAATCCAAGTATTTTAGTCTTGAATATACCATGACTCTTCTTATTTAGATAACCCCTAAAATCTTTCTGGTACAGTTTTATGTGATGTCTGCCTCTTTTTTTTTTTTTTTT